TAAAAAATAACTATTTATTAAGCAAGAGCAGTGGCGACTTAAATAAGGTTCAGTTTAAAATTATAGATTTAACAGTGTACAAAGTTACATTTACTGAGTGCATCGCAACCGTTTAGTTACGGTTTTCTTCGGAAGAATAAGCGAAAGCCGAAAGAATAGCCCCGACTGCGGGGGGGGGGGCAGAGCATTGCGAACAAACACGTTCGTTATTTTCGGTTTTGTAATAGTCCGGTCAACCGACCGAATCGACAAATCTGACGGATTCGGCGACGCCCGCGCCAGGCGGAGGTTCCTATAATTCCTTTTATCCGCCAGCCATTGTCCTTTGTCCAGCGGCAAAAATCTCTATGTCCACGCTGCAAAAGGGAGTTGTCGCGCGCGTCCGGAATTCTCCGTTTTTACGGACGGGCAGGAAATATCCTTCGGGAGACGCGAACACAACCGTGCCGTTTCGTGCAAACGAAGGTGAACGCGATGATAGGAGCGACCTTTTTCATGGAAACGGGATTATGGTGTGTTTCCGAGTAAAAAGCGCTGATTCCGGGTTTGCGAAAACCGTTAGTGCCGAGATGATTATTAAAACTATTTTTAGACATCCATTAATAGACAGACCATCAGGATATTATTTCTGCTTTAGCGATTTCTCGGGGTATATCGCGTCAGCTCTCTCATATCAGTATAAACTAGTTTAAAATAAATAAATTCTCTTATTCTGATTTTATTGCGACAGCCGTAGAATAGGTAGTACGCAGTGAAAAACGCTCCGTTAATGGAAAAGCAATCAAGCTAATATCCCGAGTAAATGCGATTAAGTACGCGACGGCGTATGAAAATTACGTGTAATTATTAAACGTGCGCAACGTATGTACTTCTCTCGCCTTTTTGTCCACGAGCAGATCAAATCGTTATAGTGCATCTGTTAAACGTGATTGTTTCGCCATTTATATACTTTTGGCGCTATCGCCGAGTTCGAACAAAGCACCTATCTCGTCGCTTCTCGTTCGTTTCGACTTTGTACTAAACGCAAAGCGTATAAACGAATGAGTTACGTAATACGTACATACTTTGATCGTATAAAAGAGGCGCAGAAAACAGTAATGTTTACGTTTTCTGCGAAGCAGAACTTTTAAACAAAGTGCTTCGTAATAATTTAATTCTTTAAAAGTATATTGGAATTAATGATGTTATATAAATATTATAAGTACATATAAACGTAACATTAATGTCGAAATTCCGTAAAATCTTTTACAATGTCCAAAATTAAATCATATTTTGATCTTAATTTTAAACAATTATGTTACGTTATAGCATAAGTTGATTTGAGCATCTCGTAACGTATCTACGCGTTATTTTCTTTTGTCTAAAATAAAACAATAAACGCCAGCTACTTTTTTAAATCTCCGAGTTATATTTTATTCTCTCCTTGAAACTGAATACGGTCACTGCATGTACTTAAAAAGGACAGCAGTCGTCGAGCGGCGACGTCAAAGCTAAACTATATGACAGACATAAGCTGGGTTTACATATTAATGTAAACTTTAAAACTAAGGTACAAAACCGTAGCGCGACGAGCCATTGAAAAACAGCTTTGCTTTCAGCATTCATTACGCAAATTCGACGAAGCATGGCTGCGCTTTGAAACAAATAGTTACTAAAGGAATTGCGTCATGAGGATAATTATATTCGTCGATTTGTCATCTCTTCGTGGCATCCAGTACCATCTGGAGAACTTTTTAATTAAACGAATAAACTTCTTGAAATTCAATCGTCTAATCATTCTACATTTATATTCCAAATAGTCTCAAAAGTAATGAATAAGATTAATATAGCAGTTTCACGTATTAAATATTAATAAATTATTTTTCTTTCTTGTATATTTATATTACTATATTATATCGAATAATTTCAACACAGTTAAACAATGGTTTCAGCAACAGAGTCAGATGCAAGAGGTCAGTAATTATAAATATTAATGTGATGAAAAACGGCGAAGCTGACTTTGCACGTTTTTTCACGTTTAATCTCGAGTTATTGGTTCCACACTCCGATTTTCGTCGAGCATCAGCTGACTCGGCAAACATTTTGATTAAACCACCTGCCTGTGTGATTATACAAGATTTTTGCATATTCACGTGTTCGACTTCCTGTCCCGACAAATTCTCTAAATCCTATGGAGATATTTTTTTCAAAAACAAGATTTTATGCGTGGTTCCTCTAATTTTTATTATTCCGCATACGTAAAATTAACAACGATTATTATTGCATTATTAAAAACATTTTATTGTGTATTTATATTTAAAAAGACATATAAACAATATATTTTTTAAAATGGCTGTCATGTATTTAGCTATAAATGTATAATACAAGCTCGCTGCCATAATAAAAATGATAAAAAATGTATGGATTTGCCAAATGCATTTGCCAATAAGACTATTTTCAAAGCTGCTTCTTATTCCAATACAGAACACAGATGTGATATTTTTTTCCATCTAGAAAATCCATCGTGAAATAAAACTGGACGAGCATTAAGTGTCATTCGCGTTTGACCGTATAATATGTATAATTCCAATCACATATAGTACCTTTTCATTACTTTATTTTATTTTTGCTTCTACATCGCGTGTCACGAAACTGCTGCCGGGGTCGGAATTCGGTCGCGATTCAATACGCGTATATTTAATCACGAATTTATGCGACGACGTTGTGTAAAGCCCGGATATGCGTTTACATAGGCGACAAGGGCTGTCACTTACCGCTGCTTACAGTGACGACGAACCGGTGAACGTTCGATATTAGCATTTCAGATGCGGCTAAGTGCACGAGATAACAATCCACGACGTGTGCCGAAAGCGCGCTCCTCCCGTAACAAACATTTAATTCAAGTACACAGTATGTAAATCTCAAAGAGACTGTATACGTTATTAAACAAATCCCGTGAGACGAAAACACACCGGCGCGGCGGAATAGCGCTTGATCCTCAATTCCGTTCGATATAGATTTTTATGCTCGATTTTTATATCCGGTTCAGAGTCAGGAAATAAATTTCTCTTTTTTTAATTCGTATACCCTCAATATTGTATTCGCTCAATATTATATAATTCGAGATTACATCCTTGTTGAGTGAAAGTCGGAAACGTGCAAAAGAGAATGATATAGTAAAAATAGATACAGGAAGAAAGATAATTCCATCAAGTTCAATTTATACCTTTCCCGTATATAAAAGATTAAATTACTGATCTAATTACAAGCAATTTAACGACGAAAATTAATCTCGTATCTCACCTGCATCCCTTAATTGATAAATTAAATTCTCGAATAATTGATAGAACTTTTTCGACTCTGTATTCCCTGCCACTTTACTTGATCAATTTAATTTCAGAGGCACTAATTACCGGAACATTCCTGACATCCTTTTTCAAATACTGTAACGCTAGCAGCTAAATAAAACATTTGCTAAAATATATTCCTAAATATTCTGATATTTTCACGATATATCTTAAATATTTTTTTATAAAGATCGTGATGCAATCACAATGCTCTTAATCTTAAATAAGAGGGGGTCTAATTAAAGCGTTAGATTATATTTTAGATGTAACTTTTAGTTCACTTTTTAGTTCACATGCTAATTATGAAATCGATCGTATTATCCCAGGTAAGCAATTTAATTTATTCCACGATCGCGAGTGGATACAAATTACGTCAACACGATAATTGCCGCGATATTACTTGTGCATATTTAGCATTTTAAAGTTTGCGGAAGCTTTTTTTTCCTTAGAAGAACAAGTCGTCGAAACGCATGCGAGAGCTTGTTTTCCATCGCCCGGTTGACCTAGAAAAACAAACCGCGCGATGCGACGCAAAATCGGAGCGCACGTTTTCCGCTATCGCACTTTTTAGCACACAATCACAATCCAGCAGCCAGTGTAACGATCCCCCGTCATAGATCATTTCGCACGCGCAGCTTACTCAGCGTCGTATTAACATAACACTAACACGCTAGCACGTCTTTAATGCATTCCGTACATAAATTCGACAGCCGCTATTTATGACACTAATAAATAATTTATTGCTGCATTTGCGCAAAGAAGTAAATAGAATAATTTCACAAAAAAAAAAGGTAATATCCTTCGTTATTCAAATGAGAATTCTTATTCAAGCAATATTTGAATATTAATGACTTTGCTAATAATAGCGATATTTAGCATAATGTTAAAAATTATGAGCAATTTAATATGGCAATTTATTACGCATAATATTACATATAAAATAGCAAAACAAATTTAATAGCTACACTGAGAGAAAAATATTTTGTATTTGTGACTACAATTGCATGATAAAAAAATTATGGTGAAGAGTACTATTTCTATAGTTATTATTACTATAATATTAATAATAACCTTACATGTATAATTCTACTAAATATGAAAAAATTTTATTATACATTATAATAGCTTCAAATATCAATATAGTAAAATATCAAGAAATATATATAATAAATAAAATAAATATTTTTATGTAGTAAATGCAACTGCAATTATAAGTAAGTATAACTATTTTCTTAATATTTACTTACTATTTATATTATAATAATAACTAAAAAATAAGTAAACAAAAAAATAATACCAATCATAATATATAACCATAATGCATAGTTATAAAGCAGCTATAATTTGCATAGTTAAATTAATTATAATTTTATAATTATCCCCGAAATTCACTATAAAATTATAATTAAATTATGGTTATTCCAATTATATTTTTCTCTCAGTGTAGATTTATTTCTTGATTACACTAGAAACATTCTACGTGAAAACAGAAACAGTGAGAAAATTACATTTTATGACATTATTAAAATGATATAAAGTGAATATCCCGTTACAGTAAATAATAATAATCATAAGTAGAATTTTTAAGTTCATACGCGAAGCTCTAACGAAAATTTCTCTCTCGCTATTCTATCCCTTTCTATTCTTTCCCGCTCCAATCCTTTTTACACATACCTGAGATTAGATATTTTTTGAATCACACAGTTTTGGCACACATGGTAATCTTCTTAAGGTAGCGACGAGGAATCTTTTAACACGAATGGAGCGAGCCAATCCAAAAACGGAGCGTCACGATGACGCACGTCGATGTGTGTAACAACGTCGCCAGAGCACCGGACCACGTGAAAACTCCGATTCGGTCACACGACGCGCGTAAAATTACAGCCGTTGAATGCTACCAGGGTCCGAGAGCACGAGGTACCGTCCTACCTCAACGGCGTGCGATACGAAAGTGGGAGACTGCGAGCTGCGAGATGCGACGGCAACGTTACTGCCGGCCGGCAGGCAGGCTGCGCGCGTCTGTGTGTGAGTACGCTTACGATTGACTCCAGCCGACAGAACTGCGCGCTGATTGGTCCGAAACTCGGGGGCGCAGCGTGACCAAGGCAGTTGTTCTTTGGAGCACAGCTAACCAACTGTGACTTGCGAGCATTGTGTCAATAAACGCACGAAACGTCCGTTATATCATACAATAAAGTCCGATAAAATTTGTTTGTCTCTTAATCGAAATATGTTACCTTTGAGATTCTTTTATCTAATCTTTAAATCTCTAATCTTTGCTCCGAAAATCCTTTTTGTGTTTTTTTTTTTTAATCTTTGTCCCTATGTATAGCGAATTAAGAAAATTTTTCTAAATTAATTTTCTTGCCTATTTGCGCATTTAGTTTACCTACCGTTGAATATACGATTTTTGAGGGATTTTATAGAATTTTAATCGGAATCTGTGCGGAATTCAATTTTAAGGTACTAATTACTAAATAGTTTTCACTGATTTAGGTTAGTACCATCGACGCGCTATATTAAGCACCCGCGAGATTTAATAGCACACATGCTAACGCGCGGCCGACGCGTTATTTTGTGTGCGACCTTGTTTCGGGATTTATCGCTTTCACTTTGCTGCGTGCCATCCGCACGCAATTCCTACTCTGTAAAGCTAGTCTCTCTTCATGTAGAAACCGCATGTCACAAATTTCATTCAGAACTTTACGACGCATTTCACAACCCATCGAATTTTTATTGGAGAAAGATCGACCGATTTCTCAAAATATTTATCTTCAGGAAGAATGTTCGCGGTCCAATCAAACAATCAGAAAAAGTAGATATAAATGAATTAGAATTAAATGTAATTAATTTCAAATGAGGTTATATATCATAAAAAATATGTTGCTTTCGTATATCTACAGAGACGCAAAAATTATTTTAAAATTTTGAATAAACTTTATATTTTAACATCACAAGGAAAAGAAAAAAAAACAGATAACAGAATAACATATTTTAATTTTTGCGTCATGCATAACGTTTCTCTATCTTGCTTCATTATCGTCATTTAAATTCCTTTTAGTTTCACAACATTAATTTTTTTAATGAATATAGATATTAGATATCTTTGTAGATTAGATAAAGAAAATGCGACGTTTTCTGGAAAAAAAGGAGAACATAAAATGTGCAAAAAATTCCTGTCCTTAAAAAATTTGCAAAAAAATTTGTTAAAATGAAAAAAAATGTAATTATAATAAAATAGTCTAAATCAATTATATAACTTATAATTATATAACCAAATATAACTTAAAATTCTTCAAAAAGGTAACATTAAAAAAAATATTTTTTCGCGAAGCTAGTACCAAAAAAACAAAGATATTTTTAAGATTTTTAGTCTTTTCTACATTTCGATAAGATCGACTTACTGTAAAGCTTTCTAGTAGTAAATTGGTCAGCCATATTTCACGGAAAGAGGAAAGAGACGACACAAGAACATTGTAGACAGACTTTCACATTGTACTATTCATCTTCTTGGTACGTATGAATTTTTTTTTTTAAGTGCTTACTCTCCCTTTTTTCGCAATATATTTCTTTTTAAATATACACGTATTACTTTTTTTTACTCGAGGCATCGAGATTCTTAAAAGTAATATCTCAGAAAGACCACAACAAATTAAGATAATATTATCCCACAAAATAATTCGCGGGATATAGATGTACAATAGCCTGCATTCAATTGTACAGGAAATCATAACAGAGCGTCCATTCAATTTGAGTATTGATATTCAACGTAATAATATGATTCCTAGATCTTTCTGTGGACGCAATTTGCGTCATGTCAAATATCATTATATAAATATGCAATATTGATGTAACTTGGTCAGAACCGAGAAGATGTTTTCAAACATTCTGAATGATGACTATCACGAGTATAATTGAATGAAAAGGATCAATTATATCATGAGAAATATAACAGGGTGAAAGAGAGAATAAGAGAGCTAGAGGCAAAAAAAGAAAAGGAGACAGAGATAACAAGTTGCAGTGGATGGAAGCAATATTCGCAGCTTGTTTTAAAGAGATCATTCGCTTGGAAATCGATTTTCGTCCAAGAATTGTATAACGATAGCAATTTTTGTGGTAGCGCGTCGTTCATACAACGCTAGGGGTTTTCTTTCCATTATTTGCTTATCTTATCGTACCTCCCTCTCCTTTTCTTTGTCTTCCTGTTCTTTGCTAACTTGCGCTACAGATAAGGTCGTTTTACTACCGAACAATGCGAGGGAGAAGATTGTTCGCTCGGTATAATTCAATGTGTACGCCACGAGAGTGGCGAATTTCCTAATGAGACACGAAACATGCACTCTATAAGTACCATGTTTGATACAAAAAGTACAGAAAAGATGTTGAGGAATATTTATTTAAAAAAAATCATACGCGGAAACAAGTAACATTTAAATAGTTTGTTTCATTTCTCTCCAATTATTTCTCTATTTCTGTAATGTTCTGATTAAAATACAGTTTCTGCAAAACTGATATTATTTTACTTATAAGTATCGTATATCATTTATATGTAACATTAAGTAATTCTCTCTTCTCTTATCATTGTTTCAATAATACATAGAATAGTCATGATATATGTTTCACTATTTCGTTGAATAATCAAAATTTTTAAACTTTTTAATTATCTTCTGTACATTTGATAAAAACGTTATTGCGGAACTAACAACAAACCTACTCTACGAATATTCTCACGTGTCACCACAAATATCTAATACATTATGTAATTTCTCAACAAGTCAACTTAATGATTTGTGAACTTGGGAAACTATTCGACGAGAGGTATTCGCGGTAGCGAGTCCTAGAATTCCTTAAAATGTGGATCTCATAAGAAGGCACGAACAGTTACAAGAAATGTAATAATCGATCGAGTCGAAATGCTAAATGTATTTATATGACTAAATCATTAATACGTCAAAATTATTTAACAAGCAGAGCAATTTGAAATATTAATATAGAACGTCTATATAGATAAAATCGTTTTAGTTGCATCTAGCTCTCTCTTCTTCTTGCTAGAAACTAAATATTAATGATAAACATTTAAAGAGTATTAAATAAATTATAAAAAGATATACCAAATTTACAGGGTTTTTTTTTAAATCAGAAAGACAAATGGAATGGAACGAGTGTCGCAAGATATTTAATCATTTCAATTGCACGTAGCTCTTCTTCTCGTTAGAAAATAAATATTTATAACGAACATTTAACGAGTATTAAACGAATTATATCAAATCTATTAGTTTTTTTTTTTTAAGATCAAAAGGACAAATGAAATGAGGCGAGTGTCGTAAGTACTTAATTCATTTATCAAACTTTAATTTCGCTAACAGAGTTTATCGTGAATTGCAAAATTCTGCCCTCGCTTGATGTCATAATGCTTCCTTTAGGAAAATAATTAACATTTCAGAGAAGTCTCCTACACTGATAAGCAATCACACTAATCTAACAAGTCAATTAAAGTAATAATAACAACTTAAGGTTGCTTAAATGATAAGGAAGAAGTCGTAATATCGGAGGCGTGTCGGACTTCGATTTAATCGATCCTATTGTGAATCGAATCCCCTCCCCCCCTTCACACCCCAGTAAACTGATGTCCATGTTTGTCATAACGATAGAAATCGGAGCGCGAACAATATCTCTCCATAAGGAGAACTTATGTTTTAGCTCGGTTCTCGACCACCCGCAGAAAGTATAACAGCAAACGTCGATACGAATGAAACTCTACTCCCAAGGAGAAGGAGGCCAATGATACTCTTACAATAGGCTTACAATCCGAAGAAATATCTTCGGGAATGATTGAGTCAATAAAACTCACGTCGTTGAGCTTGATTAATGTCTCGTCGAATTAATAATGTATTATTTCGATAACCAGCCGTAATATTTTAATATTTCGATATCCGTAGAAAAGTGCTAAATTTAAGAGTAAATAAAAATGTAACTTTTAGTTCATTTTTAGCTGTTTAATAACGAAAGTTAAAATTTTATGCGAATAAATCTCCAATTAAGTTTCTGTTGAGAAAAACAATTTTAAATACCGGTACCAAATTTATATCAGTCCTTTTATCATTAAATAGTTTTATATCTGTCTCGCATATTTTACTTTCTGTTAACAGAACGTTTGCTTCGAACTGTAATTACCTTGGAAGAATTGTAAGAGGAGCAATCGGGCAAGAAAACGTAAAAGCCGTTCACCATCTCGACCGATATCGACGCCATATATTAACGTCGACAGTATCGACATTTCTATCGACCCGAAGACATAACAATTAAATTGTGATAGAAGGAGATTGCGTAAGGGATTCTTTACGATAATCCAAGAAACTAACATAAAAGCGGCCACACGCGAAGAGGTAAACGATGTGGGTGCGATAAGATAGCAGATATCATTCCAAAGAGTTTATGCACGATTCTTCCTTCTTATCGACGTTATTTTCTAAACAGCTTATAATCTGACATTCACTCCATTATATTTTCGCAGTAATTACTGCGACATTTATATATTAATATAAATGTGACAAAGCTTATTAAAAACAGCTCCCTTACGCGAGCAAGCTAAACTTAATCCGCCATTTCATATTCCAAGGATCATGCCATTTCTAACATTTAATTGATCAGAGTTAATTTTAAAATAAAATTAACAAAATTAGAAAAAATGAAGATAAAATATCGGATGTCGACCCACATCTTGCTGGGACTTCAATAATAGAGAACATTCAAGTTCGTTTTCGGCGTTTTCGCGCCGACACAAAAGGTTCATATCAAATGTCCTGCTCATTTCCAATTCGCTACCGAACATATTCCGCGAGATAATATTTCCATAGGTATTCCGCTTGCGGCGGGTATTTATTTGCGCGGAAGCCTTCGGAGCGCGGCGCGTGGACTGCGTAAAATGGAGTGGAATTTACATGAAATATCTCGCTATTCCGTCGACTGCCGGCCCTTTTTTTCCGCGTTATCTCCCCGCCACCGCGTACATCTATTTCGCGTCAATGATATCGTCGACAGCGAAAAATGGCGAGAGAGAGATATATATATCCAAAAGAGAAAGAGAGAGAAAGAGAGAAAGTCATTACGTACGCTGGCGTTCCGATAAACGCGCGTGTATAATTGCGTTACACAGCACACTAACATCGTTACACCTTTGATAAATTATACTGCAGCCGGGCGCAATATTTTTTTAATAAAATTACCAGCCGGAGAAAGCTTGCAAAGTGTATACCCTACGAGAGAGCATGCGACGCATCGCATAAATGTCGTTGAATATTTCAAACTTCGCCGGTGTTCGTCCACTAAGCTCTAGAGTCTTTTTACGTTGCGCATGCATTACTTTGTTTACGTATTACAAATTAGATCGAGAGATGCTATCTTCTCTTGCAACACATCCATTTTTTTTTGTCAAATCAATTATCAGAGATAAGACACGTAAAGTCTTATATCACACATAATCAATTGCATTTTCAATATTTTAGAAAAATACTATGTTTGTGTAAATTTACTACTTTAGATATGTAATTTATGTATCTGTCCAAAGTATAAAGTTTTATGTTACGTTTTTTCTAACTTTTCCTTTCGTTAAAAAAAAAAAAAAAAAACATTCGCTATTTCTGGACTAAAAGAAAACTTCTAACCAGGTCGCTTTCGAAAAAGGACGATAGCAATCCCGTGGAAATAAAAACAGCAAAATGGACTGAAACTTCGGAATTAAATGTCGCAGCGAAAATTATAATACCGTAATTCCGCGGCTTGATTTGTCATTTGCAGTTATTGTGAGCGAGTTACGGTTTCGAATTCTGCAGCAACGTTTCATCGTTGCCATGGAAATTGCTTTGACGACGGTTTATTGGTTTCGCAACTAGATGTAACATAATTAAGCGGCGGCGCACATGACATGCCGATTCCGCGTTGCCGCACGTCGGCGCCGAAAACGAGCTGCAATTTCAAACAATGCGTACACAACGAACAGTCACTTTGGTGGGAAAAGGGACTATTACTCTCTTAACATTATTTCCTACGTGTCGCGATGTACATGTCATGTATAAATACGAATGCGAGTATATAGAAACGGAAGATAAATTCGTGAATATGATAAGACAGTTATCACCGTCATCGCCTTCGTCGCTTTTCTGTGGGATCTTTCGGAACGTCGGAACACGAAATTAAAGCAATTGCTTCGTTCTATTCATAGGAACCATTACATCGAATTGATAAACGCACGCGAGCACTGGCGACAATTGACGCATTAAAGAACACGAGGCGCGATGTCAACGACCCGTAGATAATCATATATAGATGAGGATGATGTCAGGAAGAGATAGGGACCATGTGAACAATAAAGCGATCAATTTTTCTACTTTGTCTAACCGACACATCTTTTTCCTCGCGATTGAGAAAAAAGTGATAGTTTAACAAACATTATCTAATTCTCGAATGGATAAAAAAACTTAGCATTGAAAAAAATTATGTACTTATATTTAGAACTTTCATAAATTCGCGATTTTGATAAAGTCGCGAATAGGAATTAATAATTCCTAAAATTACCGTCCTGATTAAATCAACTCGGTCTTCGGTCACATTCAGCGATATATATGCAATTTTACGTATAATTGCGTATGACGAGATGTCGAAACGGTACTAGTTTTAGGAGCTAATTAACGTCATTAGCGCAATAAACTGTGCACGATCTCTTTGCGGTGAAGGGCGCTTTAGTACTGCGGGCTTTAAGTTAAGCGAGCTGAATACCACGCTCCAATACGCAATTAATAGTCACTTATCACGAAGGAGAAAAATAACGTTTATATAGAAGTAAAATGCGGAACAAAATAGATTACTGACCTAATCTTGAATACACTTAATTGCAACGGTAATACATAATAATAATGTAACTTAGAAATAAATGTTTTCGCAGGAAAAATCCCGTGCTATGAAAAAAATTTCGTCTCGAAAATGAAAACGCGTGATTCCGAAAATCGGAAATAGAAAACAGAAAATGTTGGATCTGCAGATATTCGACGTCTATCTTCGTAAGTGCATTATCAGCGAGATTGCGCCGATTACTCCCAAACGAAGGAAAACAAATGAGATTGAAGATTCAATTCGGGCTCTAATGGAGCTCGTATATGAGGCGAGTTATGAATTATTCGCAGTCGCTTGACCAAGGAACAATATTCATTGACCCGGTCAAGGATTCCCCCGTCAGTTTTCAATCCCTCCTTTCGCCCTTACTCGCACTCCTACGCGTTCTAATTTTCGCGAAAAAAAAAACTTCGAATATTTCTGCAACATGACGTGCAAATTGGCTGTGGTGTCAGAAATTTAGGTCACACGGTATTCGGTTTCGAGAAATAGCGGCCGAATTGCGCTACGCGCGGCAGCGCTACCATCGCTTTTCCGGATAAAGTGAAACTTCGTTTATTCGAGCCATTCTCGGTGCGCTACGCCGGCTCCCCAATACCTGGGGAACTACTATAAAGTAGAACGTTCGATAATATCCCTTGGAAATTGACCGGCAAGGATGTGAAGATAGTTATAGAAGAGAGGATGTATTTTCCGAGTGATCCGATGAGAACGTCGGCGGACGAAATAGGGCAATAAAATTTCTTGTAGAAAAGCGAAAGAATAGAGGAGCAGTAAGAGATGTTATCCTTCGCAACGTTATCCTTCGAAAATGATAAGACATAAAAATAGTAACGTGATACCTCTGTGACAAAATACATTTGTAATTAATATGTTGTTAAAATGATTTTGACAGTTAATATAACCAAATATAGCATCACGCGCATTTACATAATCCGCTATGCGGTTTCTTTCCGTAATACCTATTCCTGCATTCAAAGATGCCCGAGCGCGATATCGTCGAGCATGATATTGCACGCATGACAAATGGATCGCGTGTCAGTTACACAAGTAAGATCTTGCGCGAATCCAAAGAAAAAAAAAAGATAAAAATCAGTCAAATGACGATACATCATCGCATGATATCCAAGTTCTCGATGATCGATAGTTATTTCGTGTTCGGCGACGCGGAGGATAGCATAAAGATGACAGACGAATCAATAAGCAATATATTACATCGGAAAGATTTTTTATGTTAAAAATACTCAAGACATCGAATTATCCGCGAGAAAGTTCTTTGTCATTTAATTGAAACATTTTAATATCTTGCAAAAATAACCGCTGCCTTAATAATGTCACTATAAAAAATTCTACGTATCAAACAAAGTTTTTCAAATTATGTGTTTCCTGGTCAAGTCACTTTACTTTTCAATAGTGTGTTTTTGTATTATATATACATATAAATATACATATATATACAATACATATACATATGTCTATGTATATATGTATGTAAACTAATATCGCCATATAAAAACTTTTTTTAGAAATTGAAATATCAGCAAAAATATTTTTTTAAAGTGTCACGATTTTTGCATTTAAATCCATCGTGTGCGATTAATTTATATAAAATTATATACTTGTTTACACTTACCTGATTTATTACTGACATACAGTTGCAGTTCAGGGAGAACATTTCGTAAAGATTTATACCTAAAGTCTTTCACGAGGAAGCAGACTTTGTAGCACCGTTGTAACACTTTTCTGCAGTTGAAAAAGAATTAACGAAACGAGAACTTCACACATTATATTTTCCGCACTATTTCTAATTCCGCGATGCCGCGACGGTGATTGAACTTATTTATGAATGGTAGCGTATTTTTACTTTTTCTTCACACAACGGAAAAAAAAATCATATACCGATAACTGTACAGCACGTGCGGATAATAATTACGAGCTTGACGCACGTTTGTACGATAATTCGTATCCCCTTGACTTAATACAAAACGTGCGCATCAGCAGACGCGGCTCGTAATCTTATCTAAACTGAGAACGACGAGGCGTTTATTAAACTCCGAGAAGTCGCGTAAAAAAAAAATTCAATATTATGATCCGTAATAAATTATCGCATTATGTAATATTATATCCGATAATAACATAGATCGCCGCAGACCCGGTGATCTCTCTTGAAATATAGATCGCGATAAACTTGTTTATTAGCAGCCGTAACATAAATTGCAGTGCAAAATGAGTTTCGCGTTTAATGTGTGTGCAACGCGCAGCACGTTGCGTCAGCAATTCTCGAGCGTGAAATGCGATTCGAGTGTCATTACTGAAATACATTGAAATTCATGGCAACAAAACAATATTACAATAACCGACATCGATGATAATTAGATAATTAATTAAAATTCTTTGCATCATTGAAAACTGCATTTACTTTGGGGCTCTTAAAAGCGCAAAAATATATTCATCGTTTGAGAGCGTGTCGATTTTATTGAACGCCGTTAATTAATCTAATTGCTAATTATACAACGCTCTTCAGACCCGCGCGAATAACTTGATAACTTGATCATTGGCGCCACCTATCAATCGATATTACAACCGATATTCTCTCCTCTAATCCTACATTGATAAAATAAAAAAAATTTGATTTTTTGCAAAATAAAATTAAGTGAGTTGGAATAACAGTATTTTTGATTAATAATATTCACAATTCTAATAAATATATCAATCAAAAAATGTAGAAAATAAAAAATAAAAAAGTAGGTAATTAAATGATATTAATTACAATCTTCATAGAATTCTTTTCAATCTTAAGATAAACATTTTTCGGAAATGAAAATTCTTATAGAAAGTTCTATAAAGAAAAAAAAATACGTGCATCACTTCGATCGGCAATGTAGTTTTCTTCATAGACAAATAGTAAGGAATACGTTTCAGCAAACAATGCCAGCACTCGCAAATAATTAAAATAAATTAAGGGTCACCGAGGACAAGTGAGCGTTAGACCGATTTGACACCCGGTATAATGTGCGCCAATCATCACGGCCGACTCGTTACCGACTATTGCCAATCAGCTGGCGAAATCATTGACGCTGCGAGCGCCAGTGTGGTGGCCCAGATTTCGCGGCAACATCAACCGATTCGTTTTTCACGTCCCACTTTTTGTGGCGGCTGATCGCGAGTAAAATAAACTTTCTGTCGATCTCTAACAGAAAAAAAAAAAGATAAATGCAGAAAAGTCTACTTTTAATGATATACCGTCCGCGCATTTATTATCCGTATACAACAACTGCACTTGTCGTGTTCGTCATCTTTATGATTTTAATTAAGAAAGACCCGTTTTTGACATTGTAGAAAAAAAGCACAGATGTTAAAAATAGAATATTTTGTAATAAATTACATAATAATAATAATCACATTATATTACGAACGCAACATTTGCAAATAAACGATTAATTATATTCTGAATATTCTCATCGCTTTACTATCTAACACACATATTTACTCTTAATTATCTCAAAATACACGTTACTTTATACGAATGTGGTATCGAATTGCAAATTGTGCATTTGCATAAGATAACCGTAATGCTGCATCAATGACAAAGTTGTTTAATTGCATCCAAACCGCATCGAAGTTCCATTAAAACAGCACAAATAACAATTAACGCTAACCGCATTTTAACTTTTAATCTCTTTAGAAAAGTATGATCGGAAAGATACGGAAGAACAAGCCTCGGGTAACTTCAAACACCCGTTGGAACAGCTCGTAAATACAAGCTGGCATACGAATCTACGAAAGCGATTGGCGCATGCAAATTACTTACCTCCGAGAGAGGGACGAAGGCACTAGGTCCATCGAAAGCCGGCACCGGTACTGGTAGTCCTCTCTCCTGCAACGAATAAAAAAAAACTTTCAATTATATTGTATTTGCGCCAAATTTCGGAAAATATAGCTAGAGAGAACGTTCTACCGTGAGCCCGGCTAGCTCAGTCGGTAGAGCATGAGACTCTTAATCTCAGGGTCGTGGGTTCGAGCCCCACGTTGGGCGTTTTTTTTTCGTATCGCCTTGTCTACACCGCGAAAATAGTTTTTGTTAATTTTTATCAAATATATCTGTTAATTTTATCGAATACTTTTTCAAATGTTCGTTGCGACGAAAAATGAGATTGACAAAATTTTATCGTAACAGGAATAAAAAAAAATATGTTAAGAGTAAATATACAGCAATGAATAATTTAACTTTCGTGATGAGTAAATTTTGATTTCTATCATTTACGTTTCCGACTTTAATTAATTAAAATATTAAAATGTAAATATCTCTCTTTAAACATGGTCTACGCCAAAAAAATTCTGTATTTAAATCAGAAATAAAAAACTGAGAGAGTCAACAATGTGTGGTGATTAAATAATTGTTTTAATTTATGACTACATCATAAAACGGTATCCCGTATTTTCATTAAACAATATTTGATTAATTATAATTATTAGTACTTTAGAGAGAAGATATATGAATTTCTCCGAAATGTGTTCACTCATTAATAAAATTTTCATATTACGATTGAAATTCCGTACATCTACAAATTTATATTCTACGTTGGTAAATACATTAGAAAATCAAAGTTAAGAGGATATTTTTATCTCCACAGATGTTCGATTGTACAGAGAGGTAGAATAATTAGAGATATTTCGCAAATTATACGGTTGATGTCGCGATACGATGCACTGTGTTTTATGTGTAAAGCCTCCTTTTCTTTTCCTGGCTTCCTGCCGGCTTCGTGCCTGAAAATCGTTCTACACTATGTATAAAGCTTTACACACAAGTCGTATCGATCGGCCTCGAGTGTGACAATATCGGTGAGCAGAACAGCGGATTCTATTCGCGTCTACGTGTGCAATCCACATTTTTTGTCTTACTACCAGCGGATGAAATATCTGTGTAAATTGACATATATCATCCTTTCCTACATCCATCTGTCTCGCTCCTTTTATTAAGCATAATTTACTTGAGATCATAGTTTCATTTATATAATTTTAAATATGCATAAACACTTGCGTTATTTATATTATTAGAAAATAAATAAAATTACGAATGCATCTACAAAATTGAATAATATACGTTCATATATTCGTTCATATCTAATAATATTTATAACTGCTAAAGCTAGATTAGTACAAAAAAATATATAATATAAAAATATATACATATATATTTCATCTTCTTTCTTTAGTCTTTTATGATTCATATACAAACTGATCACAATGATCCCATTACTATTTCTGAAATTAATATTAAAAGATATTAAAAAAAACAACAAAGAAATACAGATAAGTTACTTTGATCTTGATAGCCTCTTGAACTCAAAGATAGCCGATTATTTTTACGATCTACTTTCATCCTATTACCAGAGACGAACGAAGTCCATGTATATTACTTAGCGCGCAATGTCCTTGCAAGCGTAAACTTCGAGAAAATAAGTTACACTAAAATAATACAAACTTGTTGGCCGGAAACATTTTTTAAAATCCCTCATTTTACCAATTGTTCGGGATTTAAATATTTACGATGCGATGCAAATTGTTCGTTTGTTTTTGACACGCACGAGCCAAAACGTATAAAACTATATTGTCAGGTATTTTTCTTCGATGACACTGCCGCGTAAATTAGATCAATTCGCCGTGGTAATTCTTTCCGTGTGGAAAAAGATTAACTGCCCCCGTAATAAGATTAATGACCGGCATAGAATTCGGAGGCACAGAAAGAGCAACTCCGCGATAGGCCGAAGTCGCTTTAACCGCGAACCTGCCTAGGTGCGGGATATTTTTAGGCCGCAGTTCAAACGCCTCCCCAAATAGCCAGTCAAAACAAGTCCATTAATATATAGCCGACGGTTACTCCGGTTTATCTTTTATGCATAAGCACATCCTTCGCCGGATTATTCCCACGTATTCATTTTCAAGCTAAGGTGATCATTTCGTCCGGTCATCAACTACCGTTCAAACATCTCAAACATTAGTTTAGTTAAAAATTTCTCAAGATATCCCGAAACTAGTTGCAATAAAATAGGATCAGAGTATATAAAATTTTTTTTTCCAAAGGTCGAACAGTGACGACTTTCGATTGCGAAAAAAAAGCCCGAACAGCTGCTACTAGACTCCCTCACGTGAATCTCATGGTAGTTTATTTATTAAGGGAACTATAAAGTAGCGGCGCATTAAGAGCGGAGATACAGAGTCACAGCGGCGTAAGAATCGCGCTCGGCAGTTACTCTTCGCGAAGGACTCGGATAAATTGCCGCAAAGCTGGAGAGATAAAGCCTGAAATATTCTGGACAATCTCAATTCCGCCGCGGAATGTATACAGGGTATCTCAGAATTATTGCACTTGCTCCCCGAGTCAGGAATACCGGAATTTCGAGCTGAGGAAAACGGCGATCGCTCTCCAGAATTACATTAATAATCCTCTCGTAAGTCCATTTTTTATTTTTAATTTCAACAAAAGTTGAAAACTAATTAAGAACAAGAACTCAAACTCTTCTGAATTGGAAAGACTATTTTTTTCAAGTTTAAATAAGAAGAGATCGTAAGATAAGAATAGATCACAATCGTATTCCTTATATATAATTTTTAATTAACTTGCAGCAACAATCAAAGTCTTATAATAACCAATTTTTTTCGCCACAAAAACTGTAACAATAATTTCAGTTTTTTTTTCCTTAAAAATAATTCGTCCAGCAGAGTAAGTGCAATATTTTTGAAATATAATCCTGTATGCACGTGTCGGTATGCTCCTTGTCTTTGTCGACTACATAACGTTTTCAACCTTGTCTCGTGTTGCCTAATAAACTTCAAACACGTGGATACTCGGCGAGGAATGTTCGAGCAAATGCAAACTTCAGTGGAATCGTTGCGAAAGAATTTCGGCCGAGTGCACGCGAGAGTGTAAACTTCGCAACTGTGCTAACGTCTGCTCTCCCAAGATTTCGCGAGCGAAACTTTGCACGACCGTCGTCGCATCTAGGCTATCCGTTATCTCTCGCATCGGCCGTTTCACAAAGATTTTTTCTCTTCCGGAATGTCGGAATGTCTCCGTGTGCTCTGACTCACGGCACACAGTGCGATATTTAATTCTCGTCAGGGTCTACACACATAGATAGTCACGGACAATAACGATAAGCCGCTCTCTTTTGCAACTTCCTTTACTGCACCTCTTAAAAACTGAGAGGTTCAACGTGAGACGAGAACGAGATTCGCGTAAGTAAATTGAATGAATTGGAAACTAATTAATATTTCAAAGTTTAAGCACAAAAATTAGTACAATTTAATAAAAATAATTACTTTCTAATTAACTTCTACGTATTATAAATATTGCTATAAAAAGCAAACAAAAATATGACTAATCTGAAATATAACACTATACTTAAATATAACATAACACTATATATAAAATAGGTTCAACCTTGAAATCTAATTTGAGACAGTTGCCAATTAATGTTAACGCGGATTTATTTGAACGCGAAAGACGTATATTATTTGGCGCATCGGCCAAATCCGAAGGACTCCGAAATAAATCTGAAATAAATTTTCGCTCACCTTGACCATCTGGAGGATCTCCGCGCACTTGATCCTGACGTTCTGAAAGGGACAGTTAACGCTGAGCCTGAGTATCACCGGCAGATGCAACGTCACCAGGCTGAGATACTTGTTGGGCTGCGCCTGCCTGGGTCCGTCCAAGGCGTTACCGAGATTCAGCATCCTGCCGACGTCGCCGGGTGTCACTTCCGGGCTCTCGAGCACGCGGCCGCTCTTCGAGGACACATCCTCGTCCTGCGAGAGCGGCCTTTTGATCTGACCGGCGCTGAACTTCCTCTCGTCGTTCTTGCGCAGATAGTCCTGCTGCGTCCGGCGAGAGTCCTCCGGTATGTCATCGTAGACCGCGGCCTCGTGGCTGCTCTCCAGGTTCATGTCCTGAAGGTAGCAGGGCTCGTTCTCGTTCTCGAAGCCGTCGAGAGTGTTGAAGACGACCCCGTCGCTGCGCGCTGCCTCGCTCTCGTTGAAGGAGACGTCGTCGTCGGTGCCGCCGTCATAGTATCGGCGCTGCTCGTGCGTTAGCAGGTCGCCGCCGCCGGCGGCGATCTTGGCTCGACGATTCAGATTCCGGCAGTCGAATGACGCGAGGCCGCTCAGGTTGTCATCGAACTTCGGACTCTTGCCGTACACACGGGTATCCGCGTCGAGCTCGTCGTCCTCCAGCTGCTTCTGCTTGGCGCCCTTCACCTTCACGTAATTGTTCTTCGCCCTGCCGGGACAGTAGTCGTCGCTCGTCGATCTGTCGCTCGACGACGAACCGGGATGCTTCCTCTCGGTCTCGTTATTCGAGCCAAAGCGCGGGCACCTGCCTTCGATGTTGAAGCTCTTGCTACCCTCGTCCGAGGACGTCGAGTGACCGGACCTGCAGCTCTCGACGCCGTCGCCGCCGGCGTATCGCTCGCGGAATCGCCTCTCGTTCAAGAGACGACCGTCCACGCAGTCGTACGAGCATTCCGGATTGTTCTCCTCGGGGAACGCGGGCGGGTTGTCGTTGATGCTCTGCGGAAAGAAGCCCTCGGTCCGGAACGTGTCGTGCAGCAGCTGCTGTTGGTGCACGCTCCGCGGCGACGATCTCGTCGGCGACCGTTCGACGTTCATATCGTATCTTCATCCAAACACGAATATTATCGATTAGAGGTCGATAATAAGAGTATACATGTCTGATTTATCTTTTGAAAAAACGCTTTTCTCATTATTGAATGAGCCGTAATAGCAGCAATCATTTATAAAGTAATTTGAAACGGCCTCGTTTAGTGATGAATTATGAACAATGAGATCGAAAGAAGATAAATTGCTGCTTATTTTCTCATGAAATCGCTATTATCCAGATTTGTCATGATCGATAAACAGCAATTCATTTATCTCTTATCGACGCGACATTTCTTTTATACATTCACGACTTTTTGATACGATTGTTTTTAATTACGTTAATTTTTTTATATTCAGTCTGTCTAGCGTTATGTAATCTATTATCAACTTTCTCTCGAGATTAGACTTGAAAGTTAAAATCATCCTGCGAGAAATGTTATGTGATTTTAGCAAGTTGTAACGGAAGTAAGTTGTGCAAATTCCATTAAAACAAAACGAAAAAAAAAGAAGCGGGATGCAGGAAACCGCAACATTCGGTCCTTGTAGTTACGCTTAAATGAATATGATATTCTTCCGCGCTTGTTATTAATCCTGATAACGTGCACATTTTAATGAACCGCCCGTGATTATTTAAATACCGCGTTCGCATCGGGTTTTACGTGTTTGCGTGACTGAATGCTGATATTAAATCCAGAACCAATAATTTGCCGAGGGAGAGAGAGCACGAAACGAAATGTTTGCCCCGATTAAATATGTCCGCTCGATCGAAATTATGATACGCGAAGCGAGATTATTTTAGGAAGTATTTATTACACAATATACCGCATACATTATTTGTTATTTGATAACCGTTAATTGATTAATTGTTAATCAATGGTCCAGGTAATTGATACCGGTAAACAAGCTTGTTCAACAAATTGTATAATTTTAATGCTCTCTAGCGTTATGCCCGTATTCACTCGACAAGGCGGAAAATGGAATGATCGAATTTATTACGACATATCAATTAAACCTAAATATTTAACAAATGGAATAAAGATATGCAACGGCGAATATTTTACACATTGTCGAAGTTGGAGATCGCGCTTTATGTGATTAAAATACTGCAATCTAATATTTCCCACGCGATAAATTCACCAATAAACGAGAATAAGTTTCTTTTAGAAACAACGAGACTGAATGAAATATAAACAGAAATTAATCAAATTGATTATTCGCTTCCGTCAATCAGATATAATTTTACCGAAATACGTTATACATTTTTCATAGCCGAATCTCTGTATTCTACAATGACAGAACACGTACCTTCCGTCCTGACTGGAGAACTTCCCACTCGCGCTCTTGGTGTTGTCCTCGACGTCGCCGGTGTCCTCCCAGCGATTTGGACTGCCGACACCGCCGAGCCATCCTTCGACGGTGGTCCTGGCCGCGGCCAAGGCGATGTTCCTTGCCGCCTCGTCTCTGGCGCACAGCGGCGCCAGGAATCTACTGACGAGCTCGACTTCGTCGCCCTTGGTGGAGGCGCCGCTGCCCGACGAATTGCTCGGCTCACGGTACATCTCACTTCTCCCCGTATCGTCGCGCACGTTGTTTTCCTACCGCCCGATCCTTGCGGAATCCTTCTTTCGTCTTCGGAAAGCAATCGCACGGAGAATCGAGGCGCCCGGGCGCTCGGCTCGATTCCCAGGATAAACAGCGCGCGATGGACCGGCGGGATATCCACACCTCTCTCCCTTCCGACTCGCCTTTTCTCCCTTTTTTCGCAGAGAGACCCTCGCCTATTTTGCGAGCTCGTCGAACAATCCTCCCTCGAAAGCGGCGAGAGTAATCGTCGGTGCTGTAAGAGGAAATAGCGCCCGTTGTCATCAAGGTTCTGTTTATTTTAATCTCAATCACGTAGATCGCTTCGCGCGGACCGACTCGATTGCTCCTTACCTTGAAAAAAGCGAAATGCAACACAAACGAAGAACACGGTCGATCGCTAATTACGATTATTCTCGTCGGTAAATTTTCTCTGTAATCCAATGACTCTTTATCTTAAATTTTTTTTCTATGCCATTGTAATTTTATGCGAAAACAAGTACGCTACAATCTTCTTCGCTCGTTCTTATCTGAATTTTTTTTGTACGCCGCGCGATAATCTCTCTATCGAACGAACGGTCGTTCCAAGATCGCGTCTTCACCGAATCGACCGTTCGGCTCGATCGATTGTGTTCGCCGATTAAACGGCACTCCCGACGTTCCCGTTTTCCGCGACTCTTTCCTTCTCTAAGCGGCAAAGAAAGAAAGAGGGCGAAGGCGAAAAAAAAAAGGAAGGCGGCGCGCGAGAGTAGATCGCGCGCGCGGTACTATCCTCGCGTAATTACGCTCGTTTCGTCGCGTTTCGCCGTGAGAGAATCGGCCGTAAAACTCGTTTCTCGGAGGATTTTACCGAGGCGAGGTGCACCTCGGGATACGTTTCAGGGCGATAGAAAGTAGGCAGGAGGCGAGGCGTCGGCCGCTGCAGCGCCGCGTCGAAGCGATCTATCCGAGATTCGAGTTCGAGGGGCGAGACGATGCGGCGGGAATAGAGGACGATTCTCTGACGTACCTTCTTCCACGAGGAGAAAACGATCGACCAGGAGAGCGTTTTAGCCTGATCGGATGCGATCGATCGCGATGCGTCCTCTTCTCTCTTCCCTCTTCTATTTTTGTACCTCTTATACAGTGCTCGTCTTTCTCCGTCTGTCTTTTCTTCTCTTTACTTTACCGTCGCGGTTTCTATTATACAGTTTGTTTCTCGCTTTTTCTTCCGTGTCAACGCAATCACCTCGAATCACATTTTCCTTCACATCGTTGCCCCGCAAGCGTTATTCTACCGAATCTCTCGCGTAAACGTCCCGAATGATTTGCGTACAGTCTACCTCCTCGTCTACGCTCGCGTTCCTTTCCCAGGATGATTACTTTAGTCCATGAGGCACCTGGAAGCAGCAGAAAAAGCCACAGGATAAATGATAAAGAAAGTACTTTCTGGTCATCCCCCTCCCCCCACCCTACACCGCCCTCGTAAGCAAGGCAAAGAAATCTCCTCTCCCTCGATAGACGAAATCATTTTCCTTTAACGGATTCTGTCCTCCATGGAAATGGACGTGGGTGAAACTCCAGAAAGTACCGTCGTGCATTAAAGCGAAATGATCGACATCGATCAGAGAAAGAGGAAATGAAGCTGCGCGCGGCAAAAAGACAGATTATGACGCGGCAAAAGCGCGCATTTCGCCGAGTGATTCCATCGTGAACCGTATTGAACTTCAATTTACCGCCGCGTAACGTACCACGATCGATCTTTACGCTCTTACGGCGGATGGTTGTAATACGTTAGCGACGTAAAAGAGAAGGAGAGAGGAGGGAGGAGGAAGAGGAGGAGGCCACCTCTAATAGGGAAACACTTTTCAACGGTACGGTAATAACCGGCGGATTATCGTTCGACCGCGAGCATTATGCAATGGCAATGCGGGACTCCGTAATTCCTGAACCTTGGAGGAAATCAGTATTTCGCTGTATAATTGACTCTTTCGCAATCGCGAATCGCTCAATTCAACGATCTATAAAATGGACTAATTCCAACATCAATTTAATTTACAATTATACCATCGCGAAATTATTGTGTGCAAAAAATTATTATGCGTGCAACACTTAATCGTATATACGTGACACGTGCCTGAAAATTGTGATGGAAAGTAAGCAGTTCGGCAAGTGCAAAGATTTACAATTCCGCTTCGCCAGCGGGCGCCGACTGACGCCCGATGATTCGGAGTGATCAGCTGAGTTAGCAGTTTTTGCGAGGAACAATACGCTGAGTGTCCTAATCGCACGTATAGGATGTGAATAATCTTTCGCGATGCATATGAAAAAAAAAAATAGCAACTAATTAATTACCGCGGGTTACAAGATCGTTGTGATTAATCAATATCATAGTTCAGGTAGTTTGCAATTTGATTGATCGATTGTCATAAGAGAAAGTCTGGGTCAAGGTTCCGAGGTCAGGAAATATAAGAAAGGTCGCGTCAGGGTAGCAATTTATCGAGGGATCACGAAGGAATGAAATATCGAAGGGAATAATAAGAAATACACTCTCACGGATGGACAAGAGAATCAATACGGTAATAATATGTCAGTTAAGCTCGCAATGTAATAATGTAAATGTTGGTAATGTAATTTTAAAAGATCTATCGCTAATATATATATGATAAAGAGTGTAAAAGTAAGAAAGAAATTCGTCCCGGTCTCACGGTGCATTAGCGCGATTGCGCAAATTCACACTCACGCGTTTATTTCATATATACGCGCGTTTTCTTATTGCGTAAGTCGTGGAAAAGCCGCGGACGAGTTTGTAAGTTGTAACACTCGGCGATGTTCCGTTAGAGAATCTCTATGAAGAGAAAACGGTTTTGCTATGCCGTTTCTGTTTCTTTAAAAACTTTATGGTCCACTCTTGTTTCCAATGATGGAGTTGCTAATTGACTCGAGATCCACATCGGGGTTTTTTTCTCGCCGAATCAATATAAGCGGCTCAATGATGCGTTACAGTTATCCCTCGCGCACTACAGAGATAATATGTCGATCGGCTAACGGAATTTTTCAAATCTTCCGCCATCCGGGACATATATGTTAATGTGTGATTTTTGCGAACCTGTTATTGCATGATTAATGATGGTTTCAAGGTAACACTTAGGTCAAAGTATAACCTACACGTAACACTTTGCATTTAGGTTTTGATATTAACACTGCACTTTTACCGCGATCAGCGGCGGCTGATTATAGCCTTTACCGCAAGACTGAGCGAATCACATACGAGACTTTCACAAAAAGTATACTACAAAGTCATTTTTATAACCGGTAATAAATGAAAAATATATCACAATTTACGCAAATGGAAAGAATATAATCTTCTAAACTTGGTCACTCAATTATATATAAGTATATCCCATTTATCTCATTAATGGATTTATATTTATGTGATAAGTGGTAACGTTTACAAAATATTAGAAATTGCAAAGAATATTTTTATAAAAATGCAAATTAATACTTCATTGTTCCGAAAGAAGGCAGATTAAAAGGATTTGAAGTTGTTATTGATTCTTGAAGACTAGTCAATTCCGTTTAGCCTGTTTATCAACTTAGACATAAGTTATACATGTACCTGGAAGGCTTGTGTTTATAGGCGGATTTTGCTTGTGTTTAGATTATTATTATAAAAAAAACTCATTCGATACATATACCCACACTGTTAAATCTATAGTGTCAAATTTAACCCTACTTAAGTCGCCACTGCTCCTACCTAATACATAATAGTTATTCTTAAATAAAATAACAGAATTTAACCCAAATTTGGGTTAAATTTGAACTGTTTTGAATTATTTAACTTCATTGTTTTAGTTAAAAATAACTATTTATTAAGTAGGAGCAGTGGCGATTTAAATAAAGTTAAATTTGGCAGTATAGATTTAACAATGTATATATAAAGGTGATTTAATTGATACACAATTGCTTCACTTCAATATAATCAAGAAAATAATCAAACATAATTAAAAGTATTATAAAAAACCAGTCCGGATATCGGTAAAAAAAATATATTCCAAGAATGCAAGATAATGTTTCCCGTACGTTCGAAAACGTAGTAGATTGTAAATAATGGATTTCGCGCCTTGATGAAAAACAAAAGCCAGTTTATAATTGCCGATAGTCACGGCAATAAACAGTATTCCATTCCTTTTTGCCGCATACATAAAGTAACAGAATAATTGCAACAATTATTACATCTATCCGAGCAATCGTTCTGTTCGTGGAAATTAACAGGAAGCTACAAGATAGACAATCATTCACGTCACTAATAACCAGTAATTTCATTTAAAAACTCATTTATATACATATAATATTGTTGAAGCGATACTTAACGATAGATGATAAACTGTTTAACGATATCCGCGACAGACATTGATCTTCCTGGATTCTTTTACTATAATAACAATAAGTTACATACATTATATGGTACTTACAAAATTTATATAAATATTAGCTCGCTAGCTTTCGAGCGATACGTATTCCTATTTACGTCATCGCAGCGTGACTTCAAGTGTATTTAGTTACTTCGAAAATAATTTCAAATAATTCCCCCTCTTAACTTTGGATCGTGTAAGTATCTCTCCCCTCTCGCAGTCCTTCGTCTCGTTTCGGCTCCGTTCTTCGCGCGCGCGATCTTCGCGACTATCTAAATATTTATAACGCCTAGAAGCCTAAACCCGCCACTCCGCGCGCGCTTTGTTGAATTATTAATGTCGCGACTCTGCCGTGCTACCGCATGCTCGCGCGCCCGCGAGCCGCCGTGCATTCACGATATGCCGTGTACGCTTTGTCTTTCGAGGGTATAAGGATGGTCAGGGCACGTCGGAGAACGTGCGAGAGAGAGAGAGCGAGAGAGAGAGAGAGAGGTGATAAAACGGTCGCACGCGGCGCGGCGCAGAGTTCGGCTCGACTCGCTCAAGCGAATTAAATGGAACGAAACAGAAGCGGATTATTAATTCTCCCGCCCGCCCGCAGAATAATATATTCCATTGTAATTTCATGCGCGGAATTTACCCCCGCGTCGCCGAGGAGCGTGCTTTATTACCGGATCGAACGTCGGAAATGCGCACCACGAGTGCACCGCAAGATGATCTTCTCTTTGGTCTAATGACCGCCTATTTACGAGCCTCACGACGCCGACGTCGCAGATGGGATTAACTTGCGAGATGCATACGAGTAATGATGCATTCAAGCGCTCTTTCCTCACCGTATAGAGCTCCCCACGAGAGATTGCTGCAGAATAAAGATTTCCCACGTTCTCTCATCTATGAATTTTACGATCAATATATAAGATATAATATTCTTGAAGTCGTATAAAGCGGATCCGCATTGCTCTTCAATACGTTGCTCACATTCTATTTCTGTTTCTATTTCCCCGCTGATGTTTTCACTCTATTTATACGCTATTACATTACATATTAATATTATATCGAGAACCTTTCTCTCATCGAGATATAATATCCACATTAATTGGCACGTCTAAAATTGAAAACGTTACTGCATAGTAACCGTGTTACTTTGGTACGTCCCTTGTAGGGGGGAAAAATGCAAATTCAGCGTTAACGGTCTAACAAACAAAAAAAAAAGATTCACGCTGTATGAAAACGACGCCATTAGGATTATTTTCGCGTAGCGAATCAACTTCACTGTTGCCTGGCACCAACGTGCACAGCGTTAAAAACGCGAAGGGGGTAGTGCCTGATACGATAGCGTGTCATCTGTAATCTATGCAAAGCCATCCATTTCTTAACACGCGCTATGTCAGTAAAAATAATAACATTTTTCATTTCCCAAATGACTTCCGTATAGTTTTTGTAAAAGAGACCGCCTATATTTATGTAGATAAGTAATCGTCGGGCGGTACGCATGTGCATTTTCTAAAAGTCACCTGTCCAATTCAGATAATACGCTAATACAAGCTATATGACTCGGCTTCGCCGAAGGACGAGATCGATCGTACGATGATAACAACGACGCGCACGACAAAAAACCCGCTAAGTGCGCGAGGCCGTTACGGAGCTCCCGATGCCGCCGCACGGCGGTTAGCGCGCGAATTGCAAAAGCGCCGGCCGGAGTCGGCTTTTACGGCTCTGTGACACGCGAGAGAGAGAAAACGCCGATAACATTCGATGAACTCGGAAGAACAATGAAAAAGCCCTTTTGCTCGCCGCCTCCCCCCTCCGCAAAAGCCCGAGCTTTTTCTCGTCGCGACGCGCGCTGTGTGGACCCGGTAATTTTATGGTCAGCTCGGTTTTGCACACAAATGGCGCGACGCTATCTAAAAGATCCCATAATTTTTTTCTAGCTGGGAAACTCAGGTATCACTGCTGATGCGCCAAACTTTGAAGTCGGTCAAAGA